TCTGGATGTACCTTTCCCCCCTGTGCCCTGGAGATTAGGGAGCTGGGCCTGTGCTCCCAGGGGTCTTGATTTGCCTTCCAGGGGCCAGGGGAGCCTCCAGTTACTGACCTCTGCAACAGTGGCTTGAAATAACCTAAGCAGATCCCCCCTTTCATTTCAGCACTTCGGTTCTTTGAGGGACACTAGGATTTAATTGAAAATCCAAAATTGCCCTCGACTTAGAAAAGCTAAATATATATATATATATATATATCAGAGAAATTGACTCAAAGATAGCGGGCTATCAAAAGCAGTCACTGAGAACCTGAAACGTTTTTGAAAATGTTGACTGAGTCGATGGTGACAACCCTCCCGTAAATGTGCGTTATTTAAACCACTGCAGCTTTTCAAAAAGAGCGAAGTGTATACGATACACTGAGGTTAAAAAGCAGTCACTGAGAACCTGAAACGTTTCTGAAAATGTTGACTGAGCCGATGGTGACAACCCCCCCATAAATGTGTGTTATTTAAACCACTGCAGTTCAGCTTTTCAAAAAGAGCGAAGTGTATATGATACACTGAGGTTGCACGCAAAAGAGGACAAGTACCTCACTGTTTGAGCTTTCGACAAATGATCCTCCAAACATTGCAGACATCCACTCGCAGCTGCAAATCAGTAGTGGCTTATGGGCATTTATGTTTCCATCTTCTAGCTTAAATGTCACATCTGTCATGGGATGAAACAAACGGAACACACGATGCATAAGGCTTGCAGTCAGACATAATAACTGGGGTAGGGCATACTGGGGGGGGGCACCCCAGCCCCACTTTCCTGCAGAATTATGGCAAGGAATGTGCTTCATTAAAGACATCCAAAAAGGATGTATTTTATTTTTAAAAGAGAGCAATTGAAATAGGTATAGATAGGGGCTCTGGGGCAGGTGATGCTCTGTCTTCTTGGTGCTTGGGGGGGCCAACAGTGGGAGGGCTTCTAATGTCCTGGCCCCACTTGTGGACCTCCTGATGGCACCTGGTATTTCTGGCCACTGTGTGACAGAGTGTTGGACTAGATGGGCCTTTGGCCTGATCCAACATTGACGTCTCTTATGTTCTTATGAAAACTAGACCTCCATAGGAGGAAGGGCCCCAGCATCTATCACTTACTGAAGTCTGGTAACCAAGGTTTTCATTTCGCAGGGCACTTCTTCTGTGAATGGAGGTAGCACACAGTACCTAAAAATATTCCACACACTGTATTTCCTGCGGTATGCTCAATTTTGCAATTCACTGCATGTCTTGGAATGAGGGAAGCAACACCCACCCACCCCCATTTGTTTTTTTAGACAGAAGTTCAGAAACTGGACATGTCTTCAACTAATCTACATAGGAGGAAAAACACAAAGGAAACAGGCCGCCTGTAAAAGGATGAAATGGGGCACGGGCACGCCTCTTCAACTCCTGCACAAAGATTAGTACCAGGGGTCATTTTGTAGAAAAAGAGGTGCAGGAGCTCATTAGCATAACTTATTTGCATCTGCCACACCCCCTGACATCACCAGAAGTGTGTCAGAAGGCAGCACCCACAGCTCAGGCTCCACTGGACTGTTTTGGATTGCTAGCTA